TGCCAAGAGGGTCGTTTGCATTGAGAGCCATAGTACCTGATTGATCGACACAAACAGAATTAGTAAACAAGAAGGAAAGAGAAGCAAAACACAAAACTAGCTACACAGATAGTCAACACCGTAAGCTCTCCGGCAACGACGCCAAAAAGTTGATCGCGGCCGTCTCAACACTACACAATGGCAGGAAGAGTGGGTAGCAATAACTAATACCCGAATAGTGGATCCGGGTCGAATTTCCACAGGGAGCTTGGAATGGATAGAAGCTACTAAGGGGAGATTGATAAATCTGGGTTTATTGCTATAGCTGTTGCACAATTGCACTCATTCTCACACCTCTCAGTAGAGAGAATGATTTTGCCCAATTGACTCTCTCGAGATCAATTAGGTAGGCCAATTAGACCGGGCAACTAGGGCCCAAGTAGGGTAGTTACTCTTTCGAGGTTTAACCCGTTAATTGGGACTACCATTCTCATGGGTCCATCCCAATTCCTTGTTGGGTTAACTTTTGGGGTCATATGACTCTCTTTCTCAAGAAGAGTTAGACCCACTAAGCTTGAATTCATGTTTGCAACCACAAATTCTAGATTAAAACACAAAATCAACCCAAATAACAAATACCCAATTTCAATCTCACCCTAGATTGCAACACCCATTAACTACCCACACTAGGGTTGAGCCACAATCCTAGCTAATGGGTTTAGCTAGACATAATTAAAGAAGAAACAGTAGAAATAGATGATGAAAATAACATAATGATTGATTACTAATTAAAACTATGATATTGAAGAGGAAAATTGCCAAAATAGGCTACACAATAGTTCTCACGAGCGCAGCCCTTGTTCAGAATCTAAAACTTGACCTAAAAAATGGTAAAAAGATCTATTTATACCTAGCTGGAAAATCTGGACAAAAATACCCCTGCGGGGTCAGCGCGGACCGCGCAAAAAGGTCGCGCGGCCGCGTAGGCACATTAAACTCTAAAAACTTATCTCTGAAGTTGGGGGCCGCGGACCGCGCACAAATGTAGCGCGGCCGCGGCGGAGGGTCAGCGCGGACCGCGCAGGAGTGGGGCGCGGCCGCGTAGCTTGACTTGGCCAAAATTCTATGTCTCTGAATCTCCTTCACGCGGACCGCACTGATATGTAGTGCGGCCGCGTGAGACTTAAGCCCTCTCTGAACTCCCCTTGCGCGGACCGCGCAGGAATGGGGCGCGGCCGCGTGGTTTGCACCTCAATTAACCCCTCTCTGAATCTCCTCAGTGCGGTCCGCGCTATCTCCCACTTCACTTGTTCTTGACACTTGGCAGGTTTCACTCCTTTTTGAGCCGATCTTTGACATTTGTCATCTTGTCGCTCAAACCTGCAATCAAGCGCAACTTGTAAGCCTTTTGGGACTATTTTGTAGCAATTTGTAACAAAAGCAATAGCACATGAGGGGTATAATTACGGTAAAATCCTAGCTTATCATTAGGCAAGCCATTTACCTCGAACCGGCTCAAAATCAACCCGAAACCACACTCTTGCCACGAGTACTCGACTCCAAATGGTCCAAATCTATTCAAATCAGTTGCATAATGTAAATAACACTTCAAGTAACTAATTCAACTAATTAATTCTATGCTAATACGCGAAATTAGGAAAAATGACCAAAACACCCCTCGGGCACACTCGGAATCGGGTAAAATTTACAAATTCGGAATCCTCACACTTTCGCAAGTTCAGTCATACCAAAAGTACCAAAATCGGACCTCAAATCACCACTCAAACTCTCCAATTAACCAAGCCCTAACCCCCAATTTACCACTGATTAAAATGATAAAAATTACCATAATAGCGAGCTTAGGAACCAAGGACCTTACCTCAAGAATCCCTCTGAAAATATCCCTTGAAATTGCTCCCAAAAGCTCCACCCCGAATTGAAATATTGAGAAAAATGACCAAAATCGCGAAGGAAGTCTTTTATACTTTCTGACCTAGGCTTTTCACTTGCGGTCCCTACACCGCACCTGCGGTACCGCATCTGCGGCCAAAGCACCGCATCTGCGGTTTTTACTTAAAAGCCCATTTCCGCATCTGCGATAAAACGCCCGCACCTGCAATAGCGCAGGTGCTCTCCAGTAGCCGCTTCTGCGGTTCCAGTTGACCTCTCTCTTGGCCGCATCTGCGGCTCGATCTCCGCTTCTGCGAGTCCGCACCTGCGGTCCCCTAACCGCAGGTGCGATTATGACAGCAATGGAATAACTTCAGCTGTCAAACCCAACTCAAAATCTCCCGTTAACCACCCGAAATCACCCCGAGGCCCCCGGGACCTCAACCAACAGCACGAACAAGTCATATACCACTATCCAAACTTATACCAATCTTCAAAACACCTCAAACAACATCAAAACACCAAATCATCATCGAATTCAAGCCTAAGAATTCCAAAAACTTCCAAATTACGCTTTCGATCAAAAAGTCTATCAAACCTCGTCCAAATGACCTGGAATTTTGCAAGCACGTCACATTCAACACTACGGAGCTAGTCCAACTTTCGGAATTCCATTCCGACCCCGATATCAAAATCTCACTATCGAACCGGAAACTTCAAAAATTTAACTTTCGGCATTTCAAGCCTAAATAAGCTACGGACCTCCAAAACACAATTCGAACACGCTCCTAAACCCGAAACCACCCAACGGAGAACGAAACCCATGGAATTCCATCCCGAGGCCGTCTTCACCCTGTTTCGACTACGGTCCAAGTTCTAAAACTTAAATTCTCATTTAGGGACTAAGTGTCCCAAAACACTCCGAAACTCAAAACGAAACCTCCCCGCTACTCAGAATAACATAAATAAATACGGGAAAAACAGTTAATAGGGGATCGAGGCGTCAATTCTTAAAACAACCGGCCAGGTCGTTACAGTTTGGTAAAACACGTGCATTTTGAACTCAATTTAGGAGTTTTAATTTTTTTGAATAATTCTTTTGTGATTTTTAACTATACATAATGTGACTTTATATAATTCTTTTTCTGTTTAGAATTGTACACACGAGTACTCCTAAAAAAGAAGTTACAATTCAGTTGTCATCATCAAAACCTTGTTGTTCAGTAGCAGCTACAAAATTAAGGGTTTTTATGTTCTTTTTCTTTGACTTTGAGCAAAATGTTTTTGTAGTTGAAATTTACATTCACATATTTATATTAGTAGTTATATTTTGCATTCACGCATTTGTAAATTTTGTATTAGTAGTTATATTTGTACTTATGTATTTTTATTAGTCGTTAATTTTATATTCACGTATTAACAACAAGAAAAAAAATTTTATTTTTTATAAAATTAAAATAAAATCAAGTATGGCGAGTAGTGGGATACGGAGCTAAGTCTTGGCTAAACCTTGAATTTCCAAGTGGATTACCTTTGGGATTTAAGTCAAAGAACACGATGGTCTTGTGAGTAACTGCGATTGCAGTTTTCTTTCATAATGTTTTCTTATGGCCTCACTTCTGAAACTCGAAAAGCTGCCTTCAATGCTTTAAGATTGAAGTACGTCGAGTATAGGACTTTCTCAATCTCCGTCCAGACGGATTTGATTTCTTATTTCATTCCTTCTCTGCTCCTGGAAACATATCAAGATCAATGATGTTAAAATAATAGAGTCAACCGATAAAGCAAAGAATTATTTTTTTCTCAAGTGACATTATCTTCCGTCTATCTTTAATTGAATTATGAACTTCAGGTATTTAGATATATCAAGTAGAAGCAATAGTTGAACCAACATAATAAAGAAGCTAGCAAAAGGGTAGAGAGTGAGATTCGGACAAATAAACCAGTCTTCTTGCATCTTTGAAATTGTCTCAGCATTTTATCATATGTGTTTTTAGTAGTTGAATTTTCCAGTAATATTTAACCAATACATCTTTATTTTGGTATTTTTGATTGTGTATCTTGGTCGAACTTGATAGTTGCCATATTGCGTCCGACTTTGTGCTTCAACCTTTTGTCAAGCTATTTCTTATACGATTTGTCGTGCTCCCATATAATAAAATACCATATAACTAAAATATTTGGCGCGGTACACACGTACAATGCATGTACACTAAAACTAATTAAATGAAAAACGAAAGAACTTAGTACCTGATTATCCGGATGATTTCGGACTTTCTTCAGGAAAAACTTAGTACCTATTTTAAACAAGTAGCAATGCATATTTGAAAGAGTTTTGGTATTTATGGTCTAGATAGATATTTGTGCGGCTATTAATAATCTTAATGGGTAAAATAAGAATTTTGAAGTTAGATTTTTTCTAAATTTAGAAAAGTATCATTTTTTGTGGGACAACTAAAAAAGATAGTGTATCACATAAATTGGGACAGATGGAGTATTAATAACAGTTTGTGCGATGAGAAGTATTTGCAAAATATTTGGGGGGAAATTCTAAGCAAAGCAAAAAGATTTTCTGTCATCTAATGTCTAAATTTATGTTTTTTGAGGACATGGCTCTGGATAGGAAGATGTGGAGGTCGAGCATTAAGGTTGAAGGTTAGGAGGGAGTCGAGCGTTTTTTTACGTTGTACTGGGGGTGGGGCTAGGTTGATAATGTTTCGCCTTAGGTTGTTACTGGTTTATGTAGTTTCCACACTATTTTCTATGGCATTATTACTGCTAATTGTTAATTACATCTATTTTTTGTTTCGTACGATGCTGATATTATTTTTCTGGCTTCTATTCCTGTTACTGATCTATTGTCTATCGTTTATTTTCTTCTTCTTGAGCTTGAGCTGAGAGTCTTTCGGAAACAGCCTTTCTACCCATTTGGGGTAAGGGTAAGGTCTGCGTACACTCTACCCTCTCGAGACCCCACTTGTGACATTTACTGGGTTGTTACGTTATTGTTGTTGAGCTTTCCACGGTGGAGTAATTCATTATAGAATGAACCTCACCTTAGGTGTTGAGTGGTGTCTTCCCCTCCCTAATACCTAAACAGAGTTACACTTACGGAGCCTAAAGCTTAAACCATGGCAGTAATCAGTAAGTTGGCCTAATCTCTCGCCCGCCCGCCCGCTCTCCCTTCGCCTTCTTCAGTGGCCAAGTTGAAGCGTTCAACGGTTCTTCGGCCTACCCCTTTTTTTTAAGGTTGAGCTTGTTCAATTGCTAATGCTATGCTGCTCTTCCCTTGTTTAAGAGAAAGTGAGGACTTTCTTTTAGCTTTGGGCTTCTCTAAATAGAATTTACAGATCAATTTTTTATAATTACAAAGCATTGGGAAAAACTCTTCAGTCAATGAAGTTATAAAGGTTTGCATGCTGCTTAAATTTGAACTGGTTTTTCAGGTTATATCAAAGACTTTCAAGTGCATGATCCTCATAGAGTTGGCAAGATAACTGTCCAATTGCTTGGAAGGGTCAATGATTGTCGTGCCCTCACCTACAGACAAGACATTAGGGCTGCAACCATTGAGAATTACAAGACACGCGCGCTACCAACACGTCAGGTTTTGTGTGCTCCCTCTAATTCTTCTTTTTCTCATTCATGATTTTTCTTCAGATATAGAAACAAGTACTGACGTCTTGTTCACGAGTTCTGAATTTTGAGATCTCTGTCTTTGTCACTTGTCCAAAAAAAAAAAAAAAAGACAGTCTTTGTCACTATGTACTTCATTGTGATGTACATTGTTTTAACTATTCCTATTTCTTATCTTTTCTCTGATTCAATTTGGATGGTTCACCAATGCTAACCTGTTAACCTCTGATCTTATTTATTTTTTTTAAAAAAATTGAATCTGTATTTTGAACCCATCACCCCTTTATATTAACTTTTTTTTTACCAATTTTCTTTCTAACATATTTTCTTATTATAACTTACATGTCTTTCCCCTAAAGTTCCTGCTTCTGATTTTCTTGCTAGTTTATATTAGTCTAGTTTTTCATGATTATATTACCAGTAGGGAAAGTTTGTGATTCGTTGAAATTTTAAAAGTAGGCGATGGGTGGTTCTTTTACTCTATTTCGGTTTCCTTTTATACTTTGAGATTTCTGAAAAGCAGTAGATTTTTTTTGTTTGTCATGTTATCCCAGAATATGTGTTCGGAAAATGGATTTGAACCAAAATACAAGCCAACTATATTCTTTTGTCAGTTCTTGCAATTCCTATGATTGTAGATACATGTCCCTGTGAACCTATATATGGGTCTTTATTCTAGAGTCTGTTCACCTAGTTTGGCAGTGTTATTAAAAGCTAGCGTAGCGGTTTTTTAAATAATTCATTAGATCGATCTGGACCTTTTTTTAGTCCCATGCATTGGATATATATACGTTTAGTAAATATATTAATCCTTTTTCTTTCCTCCCCATCAATGTCCTACATGACTGGTTCATTTTCTCATAACATCCAAGTCAGGTCCATTATACCTCCCTCTACTGTTTAAAACCCAGAGAACTTATTTCCATTCTTTTATTTTCTGTGGAAGGAACTGATTTAGTAATGTTTATGCAGTGGGGCTATGTTGTTATTACAACACCAAATGGAGTTTTGGATCACGAAGAAGCAATGCGGCAAAATGTGGGTGGTCAAGTTATTGGCTACTTTTATTGAACAAGTTTCAGTCATGGACTGAAAGAGTAAGTTCTTTGTTTTCTACACCGTGACTTGCTGCTAGCATAGGCATTTGTCCTTTTCTCTAAGGCCTTAGATGGAAGTTCACTGTCCTCTATATGGACTATAGGGAAAGAAAACTACAATTCATGTCAGGTTTCCCTACATTAATCCTAGCCAAGTTTCTCAGCAAAACCAGTTTCTCTTACCTCTTTCATGGTAACTGCTTTAGACTATGTTTATATCAGCATATTAAGGGGTAAAAGCCTTTTCTCATCATGTTGGTTACTGATACTGTAGCAAAGGTGATCTGGCGTCTACGCTCTGAGAATTTGGAATAAATATATACTCCAGTGTTGATACAGAAAAGATCGGACTGCGGTACAAGTTTTAGGACAGTAGATTTATACTTGGACGATCTTGACATGTGGTTGGTGTTTACCTGAGAAGCAAAAAAAGAGTAGCTATTCGGAAAAAAATGTTCTTGTTTGCGAACGGACATGGCAGAATTTAAATCCGTTGGCTTATAGCAAACTGCTTTCTGTCACCCCGGGTATGCAATATTCCGATAACAGAAGCTGCAAGAATGGACTCAGCCAAGTGCAATTTTAGCTGATTCAGGTATCAACCATTTAGAGTAACATATCGTGGCACTTAAGTTAGCTCGTGAGGCTACAAAAGCCCAATTAGACAATTTCCAACAATTCATTTTCTGCTCACAAATTGGATACAAGTGTGAAGTAAAAAACGGACAGAGAGAATTCATCGGAACTTCTGAAAGACACAGAAATGGCGCAAAGGGGGAAATTTGGCAAGTGGACGGAAAATCTACCAGGATTGTTTTAAAAGGTCGAGAACCTTAAGATAATGCATGTTAAGATAAATCCATCTTTTCCGAGCAGCACGATTAACATGAAAAAGCATTCAAGTTTGAAAAGCTTAATTGTTGTAAAGAACCTAAATTGTTCCTTCAGTGGTGGAAACTAAAAAGTTCTACCTTCACAAGTTTTAACACATCTCTATTCTAAGGCCCCGTTTGGCCATAAGTTTTCCCAAAATAAATTTGGAATTTATTTTCAAAACTCATGTTTGGCCATAAATTTTGCTCATATTTTGGCCAAATGCCAAATGCCAAATCCCAAAATTAGCTATTGAACTGATTTTGGGCCAAAATCCCAAAACTTGAAAATTATATACACTTTGGGGTCGTTTGGTAAGGTGTATAAGAATAGCACTGGATAATGTGCATTAATAATACTAGAATTAAGGGATTAGTTATGCTGAAATTATTTCTTATCCACTGTTTGGTTTTGAATATTTCTTGTCATGGATTATTATGTTTTAGTTATACATAGGATAATACCAAATAGGGTGTATAATGAATATAAGAATTAGTTGTACATATGTTAAACAACACTATCAAACAAGAAATTGAAAATACCAAAGCTAATACAAGTAATATTTTACCTAGTACATCCTACCAAACAACCCCTTAATGTCATATTTAAGGTCTATGTTACCCCCCATGTACCATACACTTTCGTTTTTAATTGCTATTGAATTTTCATATTTACAATCTGAGATACACTTTACTTAATTCCAGACCACATGCTAACCATACCAACTCAGCAGCTAATCCAATTAAGCACACGTTACGAAAGAAATGCAACAATATAAGGCAGAACCAAGGAACGGGGCCATTCCAATATACCACAGCTTCCACAAATTGAATGGATCTTTCTAAATGAGCATTAAGTCTATTTAATCCAAAAGCACGGGGCAACCTTCCCGACAGCTTTCTTAAGAAAAAAAAGATTAAAACATAAAATTGAAAAGCAAAACTTTCGTACTTAACAAGAGGAGAACATGGCAGCACAAACTCATACAATGTAACATTTCATATTCTAGGCCTGCCTGTTCCTCTTCTTGACACCAGACTTGGTGACCTTCAGACTCCTGTTCACAGCACTCAACCTTGCAAGGGCTGCCTTCTTCAGATCTGGCCTGTAATAGTTGTCTGCAACCTGTATACAAGACCAATCACAAATTGAGCCGAGAGAGTAATGCTTTGTCCAAATAACCTAATAATATTAGTGTTGAAGATCTATTTGATAAAGGCACTGATTATTGAACAGTTACTAGAGAAAAGGGCTAATTAGCTCAGGTGATACAATATGCAGCACATAAAATAACATAATGAGGAGAGAGTGCTAAGAGATAAAACAGTGAGGAATTTTTTGAAGGAAGAATTGAGGCAGATACAAAAGAAACAAAAATAATTCAGTCAAAATGGTTTGGATACTTTCTGTAGGGTTCATTAACGATTTCTAAAAGTCAAGTACCAGACCATATTCTGCATAAGGATTCTTGAGGGCTATTTGGTTTGGATTGGTTCACCTAAATTTCAGTAATCCCTAGCATTTCGCTTACTATATAGAAGTGATTGTTCTCACCCAAATAACCATCCCTTATTAGAACCAATCTTTAAATTACAAAAATACTTAAAATGAACACTGATAGAAATTGACCATCCTAGAAACAACAACAGATCTAGTATATTCACACTGGTGGGGTCTGGGGAGGGTAGTGTGTACGCAGACCTTACCCCTACCTAGTGAAGGTAAATTGACCATCCTAGAGAGCAAACTAAAATTGAGCTTGTAATATAAAGGTTAGAGTTCTTAATGCTTTTGTGTTTATTAAGGAATTTCATTAATGTGAACAAACATCAAGAACACTATAACTAGTGAGGAAGAAAGCAAACAATACAAAATAACCAACAAATCATCTTTATGAGCAATTCTCTCTAGCTCTCTGGATAGTAATTGTACAATTGATTGCGTACAATCTCTTAAACTAGCAAACTAAGAACACAGTTTAGGTTACATTAAAGAGTGAACCTAAGCATGAAGAACCCAGTTTAGGTTATTGGCACTGATAAACTTTTCCCAGTTATAAAGTAACTATAATGCAGTAAATTTGCTCCTGCCCAGTGGTCAGAAAAGGTCAATAAAATCTCTACCTGGTTAGTTACGGCCTTGGCCATGCGGCGGAATTCCTTCTTCATTGCAGATTTGTTTAGCAAGCTTGAAGGCTTGTTCTGTTTCTTGGTCTTCGTTGTAGCAAGCAACACAGATTGATCTTTGCCTCCAGCCTGGATAGTCACAGTTTTCTTGTTTGCTAGGCCTACAAAATCAGTACAACAACACCTCAACTATACTGTAACTTGAGGCATGGCAAACCAAAATTTCCAAAACTTCAAAAATAATATATCAAATCACACAATGCAACTAACAGTTTTAGTGCCTATAAGTAGGTTCAAAGGCAATCGATCAATCAACTAAAGCTCAACCCCAAAGTAGTTGGGGCCGGCTATAATGCTCTTTATACATTCTGCTATTTCCATATCCATTTCATTCTCATACCAAATATCCACGGCATCTGGATGAACACAAAAATTAATACCATAAATTGACTTACAACAACAACTACACCTTAGTCCAAACAAGTTGGGATCGACTATATGAATCCTCACTAACCATATTAGGCCATTTTGAATCTAACTCATGTCACCATTAATTAAATAACAATAAAAAGCATTAGATGTTCATAAATCCCTGAAAGGCTAAACAACTCCTAGGACACATAAGACCTGCCGTAAAAGTGCTAAAATCTAAAACATATTCTCAGCTAATATGTATCGCCTATTGTGCCCTATCTTTTATGTGCTCTAATAACTAAATTTTTAGTGGTTCAAAATTACTCTAATAAAAAATAAACATCACGTAAAAGTTCAATATTTGAGCAACTAAATGAATTTGAGATATTGAAAGTAGTGAAGCACTAACCAGAGTGCTTGTAAGAGTGAAGATTGTAAAGATTGTTAGGCTCTTTGCTAAACACAACACCAGCGCTACCATTACCGAACTCCTTCACTAAGAAGGAGTTGTTCTTCTTCACGATTTCCCACACTAATTGCCCTGGTACTGTTGCCATTTTCCTCACACCACAAACAACCCTGTCGTTTCAAATTTAAAAAAAAAAAATCACAAGAGTTAAGCTGATTGACAAATGAATAATATTGTAGAGGAAAAGAGAGATTTTGGGACTCACCTAATTGGGTTCCTATCCTAGGGTTTTACTTTGACGGCCTGAAGAAGGAGATGCAGACAGCTGAGGAAGAAGAATTGTGTGATCATTTTGTTTATATATGGACTGTCCAGTAAAACCCTAGGCGGGGGAGCAGGTTGAGAAAAACCCTCAATTACCGAAACTACCCACTCCATTTTTTGAGCTTGTTTGGATTAGCTGGAAAAAAGTAGCTAACTGCTTAAAAGCAGCTGTTTTTAAGTGCTCGGGCTTATTTTATAAATAAGTAGTTATCTATTTGGATAAAAATGCTAAAGCTTAAAAAAAGTTATTGAAGTGTTTGGTAAAGAAGTATTGGTAAGTAGTTTTTTTGTTAAAAAGACAGAAATATCCTTAAAATTGTTAACATAATAAAGTAGTTGATTACTACAAGTTGTTAACATAAAAGAAAGCTTATTTTATTTATGTTTTGTTTTTTCTTCTTTTCGTTATGTTCTCTTTTAAAATTTACGGATCTTGCCTTTTCTTTTCCAAAGCTTTCTCTTTGTATTTGAGTTAACCTTTTGATTTAGAGTGGATTTTGGCATGAACACATACAAAAAATGCAAACAAATGAAGATGAAGCAAAGAGGAAGAGGAAAAAAGATGACTGCTGCCTTCAGAAGTGTAGAAAAGAGGAGAAACACGGGGTTTTAGGATAGTATTTGACTGAGGGTAATTTTGGTATTATGAAAACTTATAATGGACAAGAAAGTAATATCCTTGGTCAAAGCAATATGGCTTTTAAGGCAATTTCGAAAAAGTGGGTTTACCCAACATATTGGTTTTGGCTTTTTTTAAGCAGATTTTAGCTTTTTTTAAGCCTTTTTTTTGGTTGTCAAACACTTCCACAAGTTAAAAATGGCTTAAAAGTTGGTTTGACCGGCTTTTAAGCCCATCCAAACAGGCTCCTAGTAGTAATTTTTTTTCCATTTTTTTTAAACTCGTTCTGTTTCAAGAAGAATGTGGAAATTCGTATTATCTCTAGTTTTAAATATATCATCGTAGTAATATTTTATGTGGTTATAAAATTATAAAATTGTAATCCTAAATATGTTATATGTATATTGTGTGTCCACAAAAACTTGTTATTAAGGATAAAAACAAAAAGTTCAATTATATTAATTTAAATTAAAAATGTTATTCCCTTTGTAACTGATTAATTAATAAATAAAATGAGAAGAATCTTCAATTATTGAAGTTGTTGTGGTCAGCTCGTAAAAAAGGAGGGGGTAAAAGGAGTCGATGATAAGATGAAGGAAAGAAGAAAAAATGTAGCCTCAAGCGAATGGTTTAATTTTTGAAACTCATAGTTGTAGGGGTTCGTAAAAGGGGAGGCGGTAAAAATGATGGATTTAATGGTAGGATAGCCAAAATGAGACCTTCACTTGTTTGCGTTTGTCATTTCAGTCTTCATACTTACGATTTTGTCAAGTGAACATTTCTACTTGTTCAAATCCTGTATAATAAACGCTTATAACTGTTCAATGAGTCTATGTGTCATAGTTGGCTTTATGCGTGATTCACACCCCTTTAAGGGGCGTGAGGACAGTTAAATGTGATGACCCAAAGGGTCATCTTTTGTTTTAAAGTCCATTTCCGTGTTCTGGGGCCTTGAAACCCTCCTTGTGTCTTCCCTCGATTTACGTACGCGGTCCGGACGCGATTTCGAAAAGCTTTTATCTGAACTCTAAGAAAAATATAAAATTTGGCCTTTAAAATTGATTAAAGTTGACTTTGGTCAATATTTTTGGTAAACGGACCCGGACCCGTGATTTGACGGTCCCGTAGGGTCCGCAGTTAAATATGGAACTTGGACGTATGCCCGGAATCGAATTCCTAGGTCCCTAGCCCGAGAAAAGAATTTTTAAAGAAAATTATTTGCTGGAAAATATAAAGACTTTTGGAAATGAAATGGTATGTGTTTTTGATGGTATCGGGCCCGTATTTTGGTTCCGGAGCCCGGTACAAGTTTAATATAATATTTACGTCATTTCTGTGAAATTTGGTAAGAATCGGAGTTGATTTGGTATAACTCGAACCTTTAGTTGAGAAAATGGAAATTTCAATGTTCTTGAAGAATTTCATGAATTTGAGGTTAAATTCGTAGTTGTTGATGTTATTTTGGTAATTTGATCGCACGAACAAATCCGTATGATATTTTTAGACTTGTGTGCATGTTTGGTTTGGAGCCCCGAGGGCTCGGGTGAGTTTTGGATAGGCCACAGAGTGTTTTGGACTTAGGAAAAATGTGTTGCAGGCATCAGTTCTGGTGTTCGCCTCTGATCTCGCAATTGCGAGACCAGGGCTCGCAATTGCGAAGAAAACAGAGGTGGCAATTGCAAGGCCTTTATCGTAAATGCGAAGAAGGCCTGGGCCGGCTTAGTTCACAAATGCGAACAAAACTTCGCAATTGCGAAGAGAGTCTGGGCAGGGGGTGATCGCATTTGCGATCTTTTTGCCGCAATTGGGAGGTCGGTGTTCGCAATTGCGAAGATTCCTTCGCAATTGCGAAGGCAGCAGTGGTGTGATGGTTCTCGCATTTGCGATGTTCCTTCGCATTTGCGAGCTTCGCAATTGCGAAGCTCCTGTAGCAAATGAGACATCTGCAGCTGATCAAAACTTCATTTGGACGGGATTTTCACTTCACTTCTCAAATTTTCAAACCCTAAACTCCCATAGGCGATTTTCTTGAAAAGAGTTCTTCCCCAAATCATAGGTAAACGATTTCTAACTCATTTTCTTCAATCTATTTCATCTTTTTACATGATTTTATTTCAAAATCTAGGGGTTTTCATGGGAATTGGGTGTTTTTGGGTAAAAGTTAGGATTTTTGAATTTTGGGGATTTGGACCTCAATTTTAGGTCGGATTTCAAAACTAATTGCATATTTGAGTTCGTGGGTGAATGGGTAATCGGTTTTTGGTTCGAACTTCGAGTTCTGACTGAGCGGGCCCGGGGTCGGGTTTTGACTTTTTGGGGACAACATTTGGAAATTCATATCATGCATTAGAATTAGTTTAATTAGCATTTATTGATGTATTTGAATTAATTATGGCTAGATACGAGTGAATTGGTGGTGGAATCAAGAGGTAAAGCGGCGGTTGAGTGTTGAATTGTCCGTTGGCATGAGGTAAGTTGATGTTCTTAGACGTCAATACCACATAAGAGGGGGGGGGGTTGATTTCTGTGGTACCTAATTTTCGTACTAGAAGAACCTGGTTCTTCTAGATGTACTTACTAAGACTGTTTGCGGAATTAAGAGTGCATAAAATAAAGAACACAGAGATTTTTACGTGGAAAACACCTGGCTCAAAAGGTGAAAAAAACCACGACCTACTACTCAGTAGGATTTTCCCAAACTTCCACTAAAATCACTGAGCCAAAACAACATTTACAAAACTCTTTGTAAACCTAAGGATTAAACTCGAATCCCAGTGTGGCACACAACCTCAACTGCTGCGACACTTTCAAGTTAACTCTAACTTGAATACTCAAAGTACCTAATACAATTGCTTCTATGAAAGATGAAAGGTACAATATGAAAACACCTACTACAATTGAACTAGATTAAAAGAAAGACACAATGGAATTGGTTCTTCTATCTTGTCCAAGTAGCTTCAGGAATGCACACTTGAATCTCACGTAAATTGCTTTGCAAAAAGCCTTGCTATTTTGCTCTTCAATTTAGTTTCACTTCTGCGTTTGTGCAATCCCTGTAAAAGAGAACAATTATGATTATTTAAAGAGTTAGTAATCAGAGTTTGATTAAAACTCGAACTGCTGATCCTTTATCAAATTCGACTCCTAGAACAATTCAAACTCTAATCCTTATTCTTGATCTGGATGTAGTTCTCTTCACATAAGGAGACTTCAACTCCTTATCCTATGCAACCTTTTCGATCAACTCAGAAGATATTGTTGCTGACCCATGAGACTTATCTTCACACGTATGTCACATGTATAAGTATATCAACACTGTGTCTGTCTCACATGATGGACCTGGTTCATGACTGAGTTCATTTTGTCAATCTTCAAAACTTCATCTGAACTTGGGCCAACAAATTCCCCCTTTTTGATGATGACAAACTCTGTGCTTTTATTTATCAGAGACCATGTGGAACTCAGCTTAATTATCACACAGTAATTTAACTTATCAGTAAGGACCAAGTTTAATCAGGTTATGAATATCACTTTATTTCAGAATACAAAGTAAAGCACAATATCTCTTCCCCCTTTTGGCATCATCGAAAAGTTGCATATTATATGAATCCCAGTGTTAATTATTACTCATGGCCACTGGGGCAACTGCAAGTGAAAACATGATTCAGTTAATCGATAATCAACTTCATAAGAAATTTAGCTATTAAGATTAGAAGTTTCATAAAACAAGAGAAAACAAAGCAAATTGTCATTGATTAGGAGGTGTTTCTACAAAACAGACCACAAAAAGAAAAACAAACATCCAACCATGAGCAAAAAATAGAGAAAAGTCCCGAATCTGGGTCACTGAGGGGTTTTCTGAACTGGTTCTAGGGCTTGGAGGAACTAGAGGGTTGGGATTGAAGAAGATTAAGCATTGTTTGGAGCATCCCTTCACTCTTTTCCTTTTCCTTTGCTAGCTGAGCTTTGAGGCCATTTCTTTCACTTTCTAGTTCAGCAATGCGAGCCTGGAGCCTAGCAATTTCTGCATCTTTTGTTTCACACTCTAGAACCAATGCCCTAACTTTGCTGTTCACAGGAGTCTTCAAGGATGAACCAGGTTCAACTGGGGCTACACTTAGCAGATAGTCACAAGCCTACAGAGTTTCGATTCCAAAGTGCTCTTTGCTGGAGGCCATCTCCCACCTTTTCAATGGCACATCTAACTTGGCCAAGACAGTTATCAGTATAAACCCATAAGGTGTGGCATGAGCCTTGGAGCCATTGATGACTCTATCCAGCAGCTTGACAATGAAAGCAGGCCAGTTAATATGCTTTCCTTTCACAAGACACTCCAGAAGGACTAGGTCCATATAATTCGCAGTGTGCCTTCTCTCCTGTCTGGGCAGCAAACACTTGTTCACAAACTCAAAGAGCACCTTGTGCTTAGGCTT